GTAGAAAGATATAAAATTATTGAATGAAAGTCTTCAGCTTTGTTTTGCCGATGGGACCCGCGATAGGAGGCAAACAAAGCTGAATTTTTTTTGAACAAAAAACATATGATAGTTGTTTAAAAACAACCGAATTGTTAATGATTTACAAAGCTAAACAAAGGACGAATATTTGCTGTAATATGCTCTTCATGTTATATTTCCTCCAGCTTTAAAATAAATTAAGCTTATATACAGAAATATTAAAAGTTTTGAGGGAAAGTCTTTGATTTGTCGATTCGTCGAGAAAAAATGCTTGTCAAAAAATAATAATAAAGGATTGTTTGCTAAACAACAAACACCTGAATTATTGGAGAACACTTCTTAATCCATCTTTGAATACATGAAAGATTTTTTAATTGTCTTTGGTCTATAACTTGCCCTAAAGCGATTTTTTCTGTGCATTTGAGAGTCGCCTTATAGCTAGTAGTTTTGCTTCAAATTCCTTTGTCTCTCACGATCATTTTCTCTTTGTTCATACGTGAAGTTTTGCCTCAAATTCCATTGTCTTTCACGATCATTTTTTCTTTGTTCATCCGTCAAGTTTTGCCTCATATTCCTTTGTCTTTCACGATCATGTTCTCCTTGTTCATAATCGAAGTCCCACCTGGATTTGCGATTTCTCTCTCTCTCTCTGCTTGCCGCTTTTAATAGCCGGATTGTATGTACACATATTTGTACGTGTGCACCTTTATGTGTACCCGGATGTTGCAACGCGTCGACATTCCCGCCAAGAAAAAATAATCTAACCAGCCAATCGGGATTCTCGCGTACACGGACGGACGGACGGAAATATGGACGGAAGTGACGTCAGCCAAGCCATGAAAAATCAACTCCATGGTTTACCATTTTTTCATAAGTATGGTGCTCCGCTCGCGCGGGCCAAGCGGGAGCTCCGCCTTAATGAATAAGCGATCTGACTTTTGGATATCATTATTGAACCGAATAATGAAGTCATATAATAACAAGCATTATATAGACCCTATGAATAAAGCCATGCACAAGGAATACTTTAATTACTTACGGTTTAATTCGCATTCTTTGCCAGCGAATGTTTGTCTGCAGTGGCAGCGATAGTCGTTCACCAGCGTTATGCAAACACCGCCATTCTTACATCTCGGGGTGGCACACATACCCTATAAAAATGATATTTAGTTGTGGTTGAGGAATCCTAACTAATAATTGACATTGAAAAACTATGTAAAAAAGAGATGAGATGAGATGAGATGAGATGAGATGAGATGAAATAAAATAAAATGACCTGCAAAAAAGTTACATACATTCTTTTTGTTTCACAAATATCTTTTTTAAAATTTTAATTTATGGTGAACAGCTGTTCTGTAGAATTTATCGCTTGTATCAACCATCATGCATCAGGCCTGGTTGACTGGTAAAAAAAATTCATTACAATCGGTAACTTTAGTCATCAGAAAAAATATGTTAACATTTGCACAGCTACGATTTCAAGCTCACGCCCCCTCATGTGAGCCCATACAAATTATGTCTCAAAAACACGGTTTGTGGATCTTTTCTCAAAATAATGACTATCTAGGCAAAAAACAGAAGTGGATTCAGTTAATTCAACTATTCACGGACTGTATTATATGGTTTAGATTTAATTTTTTTGAAAAAAACCACCGTACTTTTTGAGTTGAATGTACGCTATAGTATTGGATTTATTTTACAAGAGAAAATGCATGACATAACCGGGTTCAAGCTAGAAAATCGTCTCTCCTTGAAATAATACAGAACCTGTCAAAAAAAACAAAAAAAAAACAGAAGTGGATTTGAAAACCCCGGGCTTTCCTGAACATTTTAGTATATAATTCATAGGAATTTGTTAAAATTTAGAACCGTATTTTTGCTGATTTTATAAGCTCATACTATTTGTTGGACTATACATTCGCCTCTTATGGTTTCTTGGTTTCGTAGACTCGAAAACACGCTAAATACGGTAGGACAGAAGATTTACGGGTCATTTAGGATGTTGTGTCACGCAGTTTACTTGTGCTATATAACTTTACTTTTAAGGACAACCTTTTGCTCTGAAAGAGAGGAAAAAGACCGAAACGAGCAAATATTCCAAATGTGGGCAATATTTTGATCCGATGAAACTTCGCGTTTCGCACTTCAACAATGAAGGTAATAATATAATATAAAATATATTTGTATCAAAACAAACTCACCTCTCCGAAGCGTCGAAAGTAGTAATGGTAGATCTGAGATAGCATGAAGAGCCCGGAAGAGGGCATTGCTAACTCTCTTAGAAGAATGCATTCCAACAAACCATCTTGCTTCTTTTGGTCAGCGATGTTCATTGACAAACACTTTGGCAAACGTGAGCAAGTAATGAAGCAGTCAATTTCATCTTCAACGAAAATCGTTTGGATTACATTTCCCAACTGAAACTTCCTGAATGGAAGTTTATCAAAATATAGTCCTTCAGAACATCCACTTTCGCAGAAGCGAATAAAGAATGAGACCAAAAGACTCAAAAATGTGATTTCACTTTCAAAAGCCATTGGTTTAGTGATTCTTTAGCGAATAATTCCTTCCAAGCTGAAAAACAGAACTAGAATGGTGACTCTTGCTTCAACTAGAAATGAAATGAAATTTCATTTATCAATAATAAAAGATGTCGATTTATAATTTATTAGAACATTATTTTTAGAAGACTGATTATAACATAAATGAATAGTACTGTCTATTGAGCCTTCAATATCGAAACTGTTATTAACAACTTTTAAAACCTTAAAATTTAAACGGTAATATTTTTATTTTTAATGAGTTGGGTTTTTAATTCAAAAAAGTGAATTGCAGTTGAAAATAACAAATTTAAAAGGAAGAGCTTTTAATATACTGAGTATAAAGAAAAAATAATTATATCTTGAATTTCAAAACTAAATAACTCAAAGGCTGCTGGTTGCAGATAACAAAGGGATGGCAGATTTTTAGGGAATTGTTCTATGTATAAGTAGATAGAATTCGAACTATTTCTTTACAGAACTTACTCTAAAATTTCTATGCGAAATAATTAATTAGAAAAAATAATTTAAGTAACTTAAATAAGGTTAAATTTAAATTTAAAACTGTGGATTTGCTTGAGTCTGGCGTTGGTCCTGAGAAAAATGCAGAATGCAACGTTGTCTTCCGTTATTTTTGTCGCGGGTTGGAAATTTGTCTTTTGTATTTAGGTATTATTATACAGTCACAAATAATCCTCCAATAACAACTTCGTATTTTATTATTCCCGTGGCCATCCATAAGTTATTTTTTGATAGTGGGCAGCAACCTATTGAACTGCGACTAAACTTATTATTATAGCACTATAGTAGTTTTTTGATTTAAAAAAWAAATAAATAAATAAAATCCTCCCTTCTGCATTGTCGTTGAATGAGCTATAACTTTATCTAGAATGTTGTTGTCCGTGGGTACCATGTTTACCATCTAGAATTTGCTTCTACCATTAAAATTCTCATTAATAGAGTATTTTTATTATCTCATCGTTTACAAATTCCTTTAACTCTGATGATGCACGAGCTCGGTAAAAATAAGTAGATGTGGCAGAACTGGCAAATTCTATAAGGTGAGCTATGACTTCTTCATAAATAATAAACAAGGCTATTTTTGTTTTCAAAGTTTAATACATATTGCCACTGGCCATCTGCTACATTCGTATTCAATAAAACTGTTTTCAGATAGCTTAGATCGATGGTTAAAACAACGATTACGTTTCAAATGATCATGGTGTGCKGCTCTGATAAGGAAGCTGCGATGATAAAATTAATTGTAAGGATTCTGGTAATAGACTTGTCCAAAATGAAAGTTTAACCTTCAAATGAAATATGGTGGTTGACAGCAAGAAGCTGGCATTTAGGAGACAACCATATTTTGGGCTCAAAATTATTTCCTAAAGACCTTTATTTCTATTAGTGAGGATGGCTATTTTGGCGTAAGGACGTTCATGTGCATTGTTCGCGCATCCTTTCAACACACGAAGTTAGTGGGCGCCAGCTCATCGCGATGACGTCGTTCCAATTTTTGATATGCGAAATACCATTGAAACGTCTTTAATCTCTTATAGCTCTAAAACAAAGTCGGGAACCCCCATTTTTGTATTTCATTTTTTGAAAAGACTTTATAATACCCAACTTTAGAGGGAAGATATGTATAAATATAAAAAGTCTGACGATTGATCAAATCGAAATTACATATTTGTGCAAAATTGGAATTACAATTTCACGTAACGTGCAGGCTCCAAGTCCACACTTGCAGCTCAATAACATTATATACTTCTAACTTTAATCGCCCGTACTTTGTAATTTCAGTTATTAGTGTTACCTAGCTCGTTTAGCCCTATTAGTTATTCTAGGTAACCCCTACCATTCTTCTGCAAATATACTTATATTATATTTCTCCCTATTGTATAAATATTGTATTGTATTTTAAAGAAACACAAATTTTGAATCTAAATAATCATTTGGTTATTTTCTAGATTTCTGGAGAAAATGAGGAAGATCAAATTAWTTTTTTAGTAAAATATGACCTATTTTTGACAGTTTTCCATGTCTACTTTGTTCGAGCGTTTTTAACTTAAAAAGGGTGAACTTTCACGCACTCTGACGGTAAACGAAGTCGGGGACCCCATTTTTTTATTTCCTTATTTTACCTCTAGCGTAATGTAGTTTCATCATTGAATATTTTTTTAAAATCTGACGATGGGAACCTTTGCCCATGAACGTCCCTAAGAGCCGATTAAGCGGCAAACAAAATGTATTCCTATTTGTCATAATTGCATGGCTTATAAATTGTAGTCAAAACAAGTATATTAACCCTGACACATACAACATCCTTTTTGCTGGTAGTATAGAATGTCTTTTTGTAAGAGGAGGACGATGTAGAATGGATCTAAGAAGATCCAATAACGGTCACATTATGCGTTCTTTTTATCATCGAAAGTGCAAGACCGGTTTCGATAGTTTGTTGAAGGTCATTGACAAGGGGTATAACAATAAATTACCATCGATCAAATCAGATATCATTGTTGAGAAGAAGAAATCAAATTATTCATTACTCTCATCCAATAATCTAGTTGTGCCCGGCTTCAACTCTATAGAAGGTCTTGATCTAATAGGAAATAAAATGTCATTTAGTTATAAGGAAATGAGTCGATTTATAATTTATTAGAACATTGTTTTCAGAAGAGTTATCATGACTTAAACATTTTAAACTTCTTAATCATTAACATGAATAGTACTCCCCGGCTACTGAGCCTTCAACTAAACCGAAACGTCTTAACTGTAGCACAATAAAACTGTTACTAAAAACTTTTGAAACTATAAAATTAAAAAAAATTTTTTTTTTGATTATTTGGGTTTTTAAATTCAAACCATTAAATTGCAGTTGAAAATAACAAATTAGAAAGGCAGAGCTTTTAATATACTAAGTATAAAGGAAAAATAATTATATCTTAAATTTTTTATTCAAAGGATGGTTGCAGATAACAAAGGGATGGCGATTGTTCTATATATAAGTAGATAGAATTCGAATTATTTCTTTACAGAACTTTGAAATTTCTATGCGAAATAATTACTTTAAAAAAATAAATTAAGTAACTTAAACGAAGATTAAATTTAAATTTAAAACTGTTGTTTTGCTTGAGTCTGGCGTTGGTTGTGAGAAAAATGCAGAATGCAATGTTGTCATCAGTTATTTTCGTCGCGGGCAGGAAATTTGTCTTTTATTTAGATATTATTATACAGTCACAAATAATCCTCCAGTCACATCTTTGTATTTTAGTCGCGTGGCCATCCATCAGTTATTTTTCGATAGTGGGCAACCCATTGAACTGCAACTAAACTTATTGTTATGGCACTATAGTAGTCTGATCGACTTTAATATTCTGCAATAATGGGCTCGGATGAATACAATAAGTTTAAAATTTGTTTCGGTAAAATGAGAGGGAATTGTGAATTCACACTGGGATATTTCATTGAATGATAATTATATTTGGCTTCAAGAATCGGCTAGTTTTATGATTTGCTTCACATCAACAAACTTCACATCAACCCTCTAGAATGGGTTAGATTAGAAGTCAAATTGATTCTTCCTCCATTGTCGTTGAATGAGCCATAACTTTATCATCGCACAGAATTGAGTGACACATCCGAGAAAATTCAAGAGAATAAAATACTAGATTCCAGTTTCCGAATATCAATTATCCTCTCACGGCCATTTATATTTATAAGGCAAAGTCAAAACATTGAAAGTCTAAGCGCTTCGTGAAGATAATCGAAATTCAAGGCAAGAAAAGTATCATATGAATATTAAAGAATGACAACCACACAATACATGTATAATCTTACTATAATTTATTTTGGTCATTCAATTTGCCAACATGCGAATTTCAGGTTTCGTAGCGTTTATATGTATGGAAATTTATCATTCCTGCACTTCGTTCGGGTCCTGCTGCTCGTCGTGAAGAAAATCATTCAGAGTAACAACTGAAATTGGTTGCCCAACCATTGCTTAACTGCTTCCAAAATCCAGCTTTCTTCGAAGCTGAAAGCAAGTAGCGATTTTTCAGGAGTTTTAACTTTGACCCAACAAAACGACGTTGCAGTGCTTTTTTTTATATATATATATGTAAAATCATCCTTCTACCGCGATTTGTATAGCCATAGAAACCTAGCCATATAAACCAATATCCATAATTTCGTCTCCAGATCTAGCATTAAAACGCAAATATTTGCTCACGAACTCAGCATATATTTTGTTACTGGCTCGAGAAGTTGTCCGAGTGGCGACTGGTACCTAATTTGGAGAAAATGCCCGCGAATTTTGCTTTGAAAATATTTTAAATCGCTTTTTCCAACTTTTTTTCAAATCCTTTTAATGGTATGAAGATGTTACAGTGTTTCTTTAAAAAATACTTTCCCATTCTTCACATAATATCCCTCATTTGAAAATGATCAGAGTTAATGGGAAATTCTGTGCGATGTCAGTCTAGAATGTTGTTGTCCGTGGGTACCATGCTCGCCATGTAGAATTTCTTTCTACAATTAAAATTCTTATTAATAGAGTATTTTCATTATCTCATCGTTTACAAATTACTTTGGCTCTGATGATGCACTAGTAGTTCACGAGCTCGGTAAAAATAAGAAGATGTGGCAGAACTGGCAAATTCTCTATGGTGAGCTATGACTTCTTCATAAATAATAAACAAGGCTATTTTTGTTCTCAAAATTTAATACATATTGCCACTAGCCATCTGCTACATTCGTATTCAATAAAACTGTTTTCAGAGAACTTATATCGATGGTTAAAACAACGATTACGTTTCAAATGATCATGGCATGCTGCTCTGATAAAGGAGCTGCGATGATAAAAATTGTAAGGATTACGGTAAAAAGACGTTTCCAAAATGAAAGTGTAACCTTCAAATGAAATATGGCGGTTGACAGCAAAAGCCGACATTTAGGTTACATTGTCAACAATAATTTGGGCTCAAAATTATGTCCTA